ACGACTGGTTGAGGTGTAGCACCGTTCATCCGATCCGGCGTCCCTGCGGTGCAACTGGAAGCCTATACAGACCCACAAGGTTTTGGTGAAGCGGTGTGGTGTTGTGCCAAGCTAACATAATCATCATCATTGTACAGCGTGATACAGTGAAGCGAACTTCGCTGATCGCTGCCAAACTCATAGTGCATACAAGATGAGTGAGAATGTGTAAGGAGGACAGGGATTGGGCCTATTTTTAGGGACGGGAAAAGAAAACGAACCTCTATGGTCAACACAGTACACAGCTCAACTGTGTATACATACTAGTTCAAGCATTGTGGACTGATAAGAAGTGACAGCATGATCGCCATTGCTGTCGGTTCGCAGCCATGACCTTCAGTGTCTCCAATCATGCGGTTTCGGTTTCTTTTGGGCCCCAACCCGGAAGACGAGAAACACCTCTACCTAATCGCACTGTGCATTCTTTCATGCCTCGTCTCTACATCATCTGCTGGCCTTCATGTGGCTGTCTCCAACCTGTAGCAGTCACTGCAAACAAGACGCGCTGCGGTAGGCGACCGTCGGACATACACAACACGTGTCCTAACCAACGGAGTCTACTGAGCTGGATTCGATGAAATAGCGAGTTCTTGTCTGATTTATTCCCAAACACCCGACGACTTCTAAGTTACTAACCCGCTCACCCCATCCCACTTGGGCCAGACTACGTAAGCATCGATTGTCGAACACTGCTAAATGATGGGTGTCTTCTACCTGCAAATTCAAGGTCTCACAACTGTAAAGCAGAACTGATCGTACAGTGGTGCAGTATACGCGACTTTTTAAATTTAGTGACACGTCACATCGCCGCCACAAGTGTTTTAGTCCTGCGTACGCTGCTCGAGCCTTGGAGATGCGGGCGGTTATCTCCTTCGATGCGCTACCGTCGTTGGTCAAGCAGGCGGATATGTGAACATTGGGGTATTATATCGAACACCAGCAGGAGCCGTCCTTTAACTCTTGACTTCCCTGCGTTGATGGGTAGGTGACAGTCAATGCCTCAGTCTCGGGGACTTCAAAGCTCCCAAAGTGGACTGGACTGCAAGCATGACCTGACCTGGTGCGGATTAATTTTCTCGGGAATTGTTGTGTACCTTACAGGATTTATCCTTGTTTCAGCATGTGCAGTCGCCGACGAAGCAGCAGGGCGGATGGGGATCGATTCTAGACCTGATGATATCGCGGAGTTCCGACGTAGATCAGCTCAAGCTCCACCCTCCATTAGGGTGCAGTGACCGCATGTTATTGGCTATTCGCTGTTGGAATACTACCCACTTAACTTTAGGATTACACGGCGGTCAAGATGGATGGTGCAGCCCGGGCGGCTACCATGGCTGTACTGTGGTTCCCACCGATCCCTAACGTGTTGAATGACGTAGAGGTTATATGGGAACGCATATGGGGCGGTATCCTCCACCTTACGGACACGTTCGCTCCAGAAACTCGCAAGAGACCGCAAATACGGGCCTCCAACTACGACGATTACTCCGGCGCCGGAATCGCGCTTGGCGAGCTTTTCGGGCCACCGGTACCTTATGTGGTTCGCCACTCCAAGTTCCGGGGCTTAGGTTGCCGATTTCAACCACTGAACAGCAGGTCCTCGTGACTATGGGGCTTACCCCGTCTGCTGTTCATCACACCTAGGTGTGTAGTAAAAAAATAGTTATGACCTCTGTCGGAGAATTCATTCAACGTTTTTCTTTTTGATAAAGTTTATTGTACCATGATTTATTTGGCACAGCGTGGCGTCGGACATGTGTGATGTATATAAGTATATATATCGGAGAATTGGAATTGCATGTAAATGAAAATAACGAAGTGGTAGACCTTCGTGAAGAAGCTGGCTGCTGACTCAGTGAGGCTTCTAAGCGCCTGTTTGCCTATCTGAAGCAGCACACAAGGGCTAGAGCTGGTATCTCAGCGTTGATCGATGGAGTTGACACGTTTGATATTGACGAAGGCAAAGCGGAGGCACTGGTCACACTACCGCTCAGTGTACATCATAGGTGCTTGCTCGCCACCAACAGCAGCCAGAGCCACATCGATGTTCACCTTCGGAGAGTTTTCAGAAGTGGAGGTAACAAGAGTGCTCCAGTCGATCAGGACGAGTCAATCCCCAGACCCGGGTAGTGTTCACCCCCTCATACTCAAGGAACTGACGGTCCAGTTCTCCCCTTTGATTACGTGGCTTTTAAACGTATCAATGCGCTCGGGAAGACTGCCCCAAGAGCGGATAAAAGCGGTTGTGGTCCTGATTTTCAAGGGCGGAACGAAAGCTTCCCCAGGAAACTACCGCCCCGTGAACCTCACATCGAATGTCAGCAAGGCGATGGAACGGCTGGTTACCTGGAGCAACACCGGTGAATGTGTAAGGAGCAACACGGACTCCACCAGAGGCGTTTCTGTATGACCAATTTGCTGCTTGCTCGGGAATGTTGTTCTAAAGGCGAGGATGAGAAATATGACACGGACATTATCTTCGTTGACTTCAGCAAGGCTTTGGACAAAGTACCTCATGACAGGTTGCTAACTAAACTCAAAGCTCTGGGTGTCACAGGGTTCGCACTTCGCTGGCTGGAGGATTTCCTGAAAGGGAGATCCTTCTCAGTGAGAGTTTCACAGGCGCAATCTGCGTGGTACACAGTCACCACTGTTGTCCCTCAAGGCTCCGTTCTTGGCCCACTGCTGTTCTTGATCTTTGCGAACGCCATACCATCAACGTTGTGTAGCCCGTGCCTGATCTATACGGACAAACTCAAGCTGTGGCGAACAATCCGGACAGAGGCGGACCAGATATCTCTTCAGGATGACCTGAATGCTCTGATGAACTGGTCTAGGGTGTGTGGGTTTTCGGTGACTATCTCTAAGTGCGTCCACATGAGGATAGGAGGACGTAGTCTCAACTACCTTCTCGGAAGTACTGTGCTCCGGTAGTCAACCGAGGAGCGAGATTTTGGTGTTGTCGTCACCAGCAACCTGAAGACTCGTGCACGGACAGATAAAGCTTGTGCTTCTATGTGAAGTGTTGGGTGCTATCCTCCGTTCGTTTGGTCCGTTACTCCTGACTGTCTTCAACTTGCTGTTTGCCTCCCACGTACGCCCTCGATCGGGATATGGCGGTCCGGCGGTCTTTCCTTCTGAGGTTGACCACTTGTAGAAAGTTCAAAGGACTGCTACACGGATGTCCACGAATTCGAAGATCTAGCAACGGACGAAGTTGAAGCTAACCGGAGTTGACGGCCTTCCGGTATATCTTCTTACGGGTCTCAGTATGCGCGCGACCTCCTAGTGTCTCGTTGCCCGAAATAGACAAAAACACTCGTGGGAGTCGTAGACGTTTATTGGCGAATCGTGGTACTAGATAGTACCGAAACGTGCCAAGGTGACGCTAAACAAAGCAAGCAACAAATGCAGTAGCAGAGCGATAGCGTGTCACACGTGTAGCGTGGGTTTGAACAGGACCCAGCTTATATATACGCCTGAGCGGAAAACCGTGCTCGGTAAAACAAACAGAAGTAAAACAAAGAAAATATCACAGTTCGAGTCAGAGTTGATTGTGAAGAAAATATGAACGGAAGACGTCCTCGTGGATCGCTCCTTTTCTTCGTACAATCATGGTCACTACAGCCCCACTGAGTGCACCGGGGTTGTTTTAGTTGTCATACAGACGACTGAGAGACGACCTGATCTACATCAGAAGCATCATCCGGGGCAACTTTGGCTCGGA